AGCTGAAACAAATAAACTCATTTTTGTTTGGCCAGGGGGACCGATGCCGCAACTCACCGACTCTCGGGTCTTCTTTGACCCCGTCCTGGGATCCTTCCTTCCCTCGGGCCGTCCCATGTCCTGGTCGCTCCCGTCAGCTTTCTCCCCCGGTCACCTGGTGCCTCTCTGGCCTCGGCGTCTCAGGGTCCCATGGCTTCTCCGTCGCCCGGTCCAGGTGGATCTGCCTCACGGGTTCCGGCCACCAACCCAACTCCTACCCTCCTCCTCCTTTGAGGGTGGGCACCCTCCTTTTTAAAGCCGGACCCCTCTTCCTGGGACACTGGCACATGTGCTTCTCGGCCCCCCACCCCTCTCCAGTGCGTCGGCTGGGGGAATCCCTGCGCCTGTGCAGGCATCGCCAGCTGAACAGGCTTGGCAGAGCTGCTTGCATGCTGCAAATGACAGGAGGAATGTTATATTTTAAACCATGATCTAGTTTTACAATGATTAGTTCAATGTAAACAGGTAAGCCTTGTAGTAATCTTCATAGCATGGCAAGGCTGTAACAGAACATTTCCATAGTAACATATGGCTTAGTGTCTAGGATTAAGTGGTAATTTTGCATTAACACTAGGAACTATAACACAATCTTTCAAACCCTTAAATCACTTCAGGTGCTCGAAAGGATGAACTAGAACGAATCGTAGCACTATCAAAAACGTTATTCTGGATAAGGTCTTTCATATTGATCTATCCCAAAATACAGTAATGGTAGCAGCTCTAAAGATGTGTCTAGAGAATGAAGGAAAGAGAGGCTCTCAGCAGAGACTTGATCACAAAAAGGTCCAGGAGACAGAGTGGGATAAGCAGGGCTTCCAGGCGGTGGTAAAAGTAATGATCCAGGCTCACGTACCAACAATAGCATGACTTGATACAGAAAGAGAGAGGTCGTTGACAGATGAGGTTGGATTTTGAGGGGAGCAAGCAGATCACTGCTGTACTCATTGAGGGGGGGTGTTGGCCCCAAAAGTTGGTACAAAGGGGGCCAAGTGAGGTGTCAAACAAAAGCTCACTTTCGACTGATTCTGTGTAATGCATATGCTCTTCATATATCTGTATAATGTCTGTGTGTGGAATTATGAATATGTACTCTGTATGGATACTGGAAGTTTCTCTGTATGTGGTTGAGCAATAGGCGAGAAAAGCTCAGTCTATGCACATGCTAATTGGCAAGCCACCAGCAACAATAGGTCTCTTAAGTACTAGAGACCCACCTGGGAAGGAATCTAGGTGCCTGGCCAGAAACCATGTGACTCTCTCCAGCTTGGAAGAAGCTAGGGAGGGATATAAATAGGCCATGTGGCCGACTCCATGTTGGTGCTCAGCTCAGTTCTTCATCCCAGATGCAGCATTGGAGGGATCAATGAGCCAGAAAGAACTGTGGACCCACCCTGACTTTTAAGCCAGCAGTTATAACGTCTCTGCTGCGAGCCTGCATTGAGAAGTGTGAAATTCAATGCATGTAATATATGATACTTTAACTACCTTACTTTCATGCTTTTCTTTCTTTTAGTAATTAACCTTTAGATTTTAGATTCTAAAGGATTGGCCCAGCGTGGTTTGTGGGTAAGATCTAGAGTGTAAATTGACCTGGGATCTGTGGCTGGTTTCTTGGGACCGGACAGAACCTGTTCAGGGTAGGTAAGATTGGGCTTTAAAATCCCTCACCTGTGAGCAGGCCCGGGGCTGTTTGGGGCATGGAGAGAGCTGGAGTGCCAGAGGGGTTTTGCTTGTGTGGCTTCAGGCTGGCCAGGCAGGCAGCTGAAGTGCTCTGAGGGACTGGTTTGTGGCCTATTTGGGAAGGGCCGCAAGTCGGGGGCTGTAAGGAGCCCCGAGTTTGAGCAATTCGCTCTTAGCTGACGCCCTCAGCTGTGCCCAGACCCACCTCAAACAGTGGGATAAGCAGGGCTTCCAGGCAGTGGTAAAAGTAATGATCCAGGCTCACATACCAACAGTAGCATGACTTGATACAGGAAGAGAGAGGACGTGTCAGTTGTTGACAGATGAGTTTACGTTTAAGTTCTGCATTCAATTCCTGGTTTCCACATTACATTCAAGAATTCTCCCTGTCTAAAATGGTAAGAATAGTCCATACCTTGGCTGTATTGTGCTTTTTAACTGTCAGCGCTTCAGAACTGCATGATGAGATATCTGCCCCACACAGGCAGAGAAGGGGTTAAGAGAGCTACTGGGGAGTCTGTGTAGGAGGCCACCTGTCATGAATAGGAGCTGCAAAGGAGAGTTTGACTTACCTGGGGAGTGAGGAAAGGGTTAAGCAACTCTGGAGATGCATCTTAGGGAGGGGGCTTTGAGCATTCAGCCAGTAAAATGCAGATACGGAATTTCAAATCGAGATTTTTTTTTTGTCTTCCTTTTTTTTTTTTTTTTTTTTGAGTCAGAGTAATTTTTCCCCAGGTAGCGGGAGAGACAGACTCTCCCAGAAACAAACTCCTTGAATTCACTGAAATGTGTAAGTAGTCCATCGGGTTTTCTTGTTTTTCTTGTTTGGGGGTTTGGAAATCATGTCTGATCTGGTTAATTGTTTCTCTCTTTGGTAGCTAAGGATTACAGCCCAGGGATTCTCCCTGAATCTATTTCACAGTCCATAGTCATTTACTATGCTTGCAACAGTAGTCTTGTTTTAATAATAAAAGTGTTTTCTTTTTGGTTTGGTTAACTGGTATTGGTTGATTTTTGTGTCCATAAACTTACGTACCCAGGGGGAGCAAAAACCCATTTTTCTCTGTGGATTATCTCTGTAGGCTGTGTCCAGACTCAGGGTTTTTTTCAAAAAAAAGTAGCCTTTTTTCGAAAAAACTTCACCTGCGTCTAGACTGTAACCGCTTTCTTTCTAAATTAAATCAAAAGAACGCGGCTTTTCTTTCGACAGCGGTAAACCTCATTGCATGAGGAAGAACGCCTTTTTTCAAAAGTGCTTTTTCGAAAAAATGCATTCTTGAATGCAAACAGGGGTTTTTCAAAAGAGAGCATCCAAACTGCCTGGGTGCTCTCTTTCGAAAAAGCGGCTTGCTTTTTCGAAAGAGGCTTGCAGTCTAGACATAGCCTGTTTGTTTTCCCAACTCCAAGCAAAATGGAGGGAGGAGATTGCCTCAGGGAGGAGATTCCAAGTGATTTCTTCCCTGGAAAACAGCTTATTTATATTTATATTGACACTTGGTGGGTCTCAGGGAAACTGAGACTGGACAAGTTTGTCTCTGGGGCTGTGTCTAGACTACACCTCTCTGTCGACAGAGGGGTACAGTCTAGACATAGCCCGGGAGTTACAGAGACAGGTTCTTACAGAATTTATTCTACTAGCCAGCCTCCATACCTACACTTGAAGTGCCAAGTTGGGGAATTGAGCCATGACACCACACATGGCAGAGACTCTCAGAGACATGGCCATATAAAAGTTGCTGCTAAGAGCCCACACAGGGCATCTGTAGATGGCTGAGAGAATTGTTAGCACCATGAACAGAGCAGGAGCTAACAAAGTGGCCCAGGGAAATAGAGCAACGTTGACCTATGGCACAGAGGAGCAGCAGGAGGCTGCTTGCTATTTTAAGGGTCTGTGAGTTGATCTCCGGAGTAGCGGGTGGGTCCAGATCCCCACCCCCTCCACTCGCTGCCACGCAAGTGTCAGGACTGTATGAAAGTGGACAGCGACCTAGAGAGAGGGCCAAATCACAAAGAGGATGCTGTTGTTCTTTGAGATGAAATTCTTTGATAAGATAACGAGCCTTGTGGATAAGGGAGAAGCGGTGGATGTTATATACCTAGACTTTAGTAAGGCATTTGATACGGTCTCGCATGATATTCTTATTGATAAACTAGGCAAATATAACTTAGATAGGGCCACGATAAGGTGGGTGCATAATTGGCTGGATAACCGTAGTCAGAGAGTTGTTGTTAATGGTTCTAAATCCTGCTGGAAAGGGATAGCAAGTGGAGTTCCTCAAGGGTCTGTTTTGGGACCCGTACTGTTCAATATCTTCATCAATGATGTAGATATTGGGATAGAGAGTACGCTTATTAAGTTTGCAGATGATACCAAACTGGGTGGGGTTGCAACTTCTTTGGAGGATAGGGACATAATTCAAAATGACCTTAGCAAGTTAGAGAAATGGTCAGAGGTAAACAGGATGAGGTTTAATAAAGAGAAATGCAAAGTGCTCCACTTAGGAAGGAACAATCAGTTCCATACATACAAGATGGGAAGCGACTGTCTAGGAAGGAGCATGGCGGAAAGGGATCTAGGGGTCATAGTGGACCACAAGTTGAATATGAGTCAACAGTGTGATGCTGTTGCAAAAAAAGCAAATATGATTTTAGGTTGTATTAACAGGTGTGTTGTAAGCAAAACTCGTGAAGTCATTCTGCCGCTCTACTCTGCACTAGTTAGGCCTCAGCTGGAGTACTGTGTCCAGTTCTGGGCGCCACATTTCAAGAAAGATGTGGAGAAATTGGAAAGGGTACAGAGAAGAGCGACAAGAATGATTAAAGGTTTAGAGAACATGACCTATGAAGCCAGGCTTCATGAACTGGGCTTGTTTAGTTTGGAAAAAAGAAGATTAAGGGGGGGACATGATAGCGGTTTTCAAATATCTAAAAGGGTGTCACAAGGAGGAAGGAGAAAATTTGTTCCTCTTGGTTTCTGAGGACAGGACAAGGAGGAATGGGCTTAAAGTGCAGCAGGGGAGGTTTAGATTGGACATTAGGAAAAAATTCCTAACTGTCAGGGTGGTCAAATATTGGAATAAATTGCCAAGGGAGGTGGTGGAATCTCCCTCTCTGGAGATATTTAAGAACAGGTTAGATAGACATCTGTCAGGGATGGTGTAGACGGAGCGTGGTCCTGCCTTGAGGGCGGGGGGGCTGGACTCGATGACCTCTTGAGGTCCCTTCCAGTCCTATTATTCTATGATTCTATGAGAGAAGAGCCATAGATGAGGACACAGACATTGCTGGTGTGCCTGGAGCTAAACCCCAACACCCAAATGAAACTTTTTAATTGAAAGAGTTTTTTACAAAAAATCCAGCCTCTGGAAAAGAAAAACAAAACTTTTTTACTATGTGTTTCATAGAACTTGGGTAACAAAAGAGTCCCAAAAGATTCACAAAATAAATTAACCCCCCAAAATATGTTTTTTCAGACACTTCAAAACTGCAATGTTTCCCAACATGAATGTTTCATTTTTCAACAGCTCAAACTTTAGTTTTTCCAGTGAGTTGCCAAAATTGTTCAGATCTCTCCAAAGTTTTTTAAAGTATGTCCGATTAAAAAGCACACTGTGCGTTCTGAATTGATGTATTTTAGGCTTTGCAAAACCTGAAATTGAGTTTTGATTTGCAGGTAGCATTTTGTAAATCCTTTATATTGGTAGATTACTTTGGACCTTCATACTCATTATTCCTAGTGTGACTTTATAATGCAAGTTAGCTGTGATCTGATATGATTTGCATCCATGTCCTAGTAGCTGTGAGCTTTTCCAATATTTACTTGGCAAGAATGTGTTTCAGCTTGAGCACACTGGTTCTTTCATTGCTGTAGGTACATCCATCACTGACGAGCATGCTTTCATAAATCTGAATAAAACAGGAAAAACTGAATTCAGAAAGCGAATGTTTCCACTGCCATTGCAGAATTCTCCCAGAACAAGAAGGGGGGCATTAGCTGGAAAACTTATCTTCAGAAAGTTAGTGTTGGATGGATTCACAAAAAGTCTGGCCCTATTAAGGAAGGCAGTGTGTGAAAAGAACTATAAGGGCAGGATACATGGAGTGTGGCAATATGGCTATTGGCGTTATTGAAAATAGAATTTAAAATAGCAGAAATTATGCTATCCACATAACCCATAGTAGTGCTGTTAGGTGACAGTTAGAAGGGAAGTATGTATTGGGAAAAGATCCACTAATAACTATTACAACTAGCAGTCAGATGTATAGCAACTTGTTTTGGTAAATGCTCTCCAACCACCAGTGTCCTGGAGAAATAATTGTAGGCAACCTTATTCATTAGGATCAAGTCAAGTATGTTATATCTGGTTACAATTAGGGAAGATTTGAACAAAACAAATGCAACCTCAAAAATATAACAGGAGGCTCAAACACATAAGGCAAAGAAAAGGTCAAAAAAATGTGCATGGAGAGTTAATTTATGTGAATAATTACAACATAAAAAGTTCTTTAAAAATTTCTTATATCGTTGAGATTGCAACACCATGTGCCCGCCCCATTTCAGGAACATATCCTTAATTTGGGAAGCTTGATTAAGCACGAGCTTAAATACCACTGAAGTTATTCAAGTTTAATTACTACTTAAAGTTATACATTGATTTTTCTAATGCTGGAGCTGGTGGCATTAAATTGGGGTCTCATGTAAGATTTCACTGGGGATGTCTCTGAAGATAGGAACGCAGTTCAACAGTTAGCCAAGACCACTTACAAGATGAGAAAATAATGAGTCTGTTCTATAGCTTTAGCCAGCTGGCTTTTGGCTTATGCAGTAATCCCCGGAAGCCCCAGGTTTGTTTGTGTCCGCAGATGACTGAGGTCAGTCAGGGTTACACATGTAATATCCATCCATACAGATTCTGTAGACAGTTTCATTCCTTTCTGTTCAGGAAACAAATTGAGAAAATATAAATGAGAAACTATAAATGTCTGGTATTTTCTAAATCAGATGTAATGGAGATTGTCAAGCATGTCTGATGTTTTTGTTGAAACCATCTGGCAGCCCTATTTGTAGGACCAGTCAGAGTCCAGGCTCCCAGGAAAAGCAGGTCTATTCACAGCTCATTGGTCCAAAACTGGGCCATTCAGGTCCCTAAGTCCCAGGAAGGGCCCTCCCTTAGCATGTGGAGATCAACAAACAGGGTTATGCTTCTACTTCCCCATGCTCCCCACCCCAGAGAGGCACATCACATTGAGCCAGCAGAACGTGCACCGCCAGGGGTTCCAGCCTTGCCAGCAATGGGTCACATCAGGCCACTGGAGTCAGGCATATTCATATTCATAGGTGTATTTCCATAAAGAATATGAGGTGCGACATCACAGGTTACTCAACATCTCTGGCCATGCTAGGCTCCAATCTTGCCCTGCTTCAGGCCATAAATACACCAGCCTCTGTCACGTTATACTCCAGGGCTAGGCGAGATGCGGCCCGGGAACCAGATCCTGCCCATGTAACACTTTGATCCGGCCTGCGGTCTGTATCTGGCTGCTTTCTATTTATTTCCTGCTGCCTGTGCCACCAAATTTCCAGGCAATGACTCGGGCAGTAGATCCTATTTAAATGGCTCCCAGCCATGGCACTGCATTGGTAGGAGCTGAGCTGTGAGACCTTTAAAGAGCCATAGCAACCCTGGGTAGCTGCCAGGCAGCTGTGTTCCCAGCCCAGGCTGCAAGTGGCAACGCTGTACAGAGGGGCCTGCACTAAGGGCCAGGCTGCCAAAAGAGCATGGCTCCAGTGTTCCCACTCATTTTTTCCATCCTTGTGCAGAATAAATTTTATGAGCACTGAGGGATGTGTGAATGTGCACCACCAGTGGAAACACAAACCTAGCTGTGGGTGCTCTGGTAATCAGCTGGGCGGCCGCACAAACTTACAGGGAACACTGCTTGGCTCCCATTTAGACTCCCCCATGAAGACCAGAGTTTCCAAACTGCCAGCACCCTAGGCCTGCACACTACAGACACAAGAGAGCTGGCAGAACAGGGAGCCCAAAAGTAGCACAGGGGAAGATCAAACGCCTCCTGGCCAGCGGGATCCAGCCAAGCTCCTGGGATGGGGGAGCCCAGCCAGCAACAGCAAAGAGTCTGCTCCACTCTGGCAAAGGGGCTGATCATTAGTCTGTTAATTAGCACCTGGCAGTTTATTAGCTAATTCCTGTCCCAGCATGGTGGGTTAATACCCCAACCCAGTTCACAGCTAGGAAACCCTAGACTGAGGCTCTGTGTCTCTGATGTGTGAGTTCAGGGCCTTGCATGGGGAAGGCCCTGCTGTGCTGTCACATTACTGGATTTGATGGGGATCAGACAAGTCACTGCTGCACCCAAGGGGGAGGGTTGTCATAAAGTCTGCACAAAAAGGGGCCATGTGAGGTGTCAAACAAAAGCTTACGTTCTACTGATTGTTCATGTACTCGTGTGATATCTGCGTGTGGAGTTATAACTATGGACTCTGTGTCGATGCGGGAAGATTCTGTCTGAGACAAAGCAATGGGCTAGGAATGTTCAGTCAGTGACTATGCTAATTAGCAAGGCTCCAGGGGCAAGGCTCTCAGAGAAGCCAATACACACCTGAGGAATGTGTCTGGGACCTGCAAACCAGCCAATATCTTTACTGCTGACATGGGACACAGGGATAGGTCACTGGGCCATGTGACCTGCTCCAGCTTCGATGATACCAGGGATGGATATAAAATGCCATGAGGCAGACTCCATCTTGCCTTCAGTTCTGCTCCTGATCCCAGATGCAGCCTTGTGAGGAACAGCTAGCCGGGAAGAATCATTGGCCCATCCTGACATCGGATGTACACCAAAGACTTTTAAGATAGCAGTTTGTAACTTCTCTGCTGAGAGCTTGCATTGAAAACTTGGTGATTCGATGCATGTAATGTATTCTCCTTAACAACCTTATTCTCATGCTTTTCTTTCTTTTAATAAACCTTTAGATTTTAGATTCTAAAGGATTGGCGCAGCATGATCTTACGGGTAAGATCCAGAGTTTAAATTGACTGGGAACTGTGGCTGGTCTTTTGGGACCAGGAGAACCTGTTCAGGGTAGGTGAGATTGGGTTTTATAACTCCTCACCTGTGTGTTAGGCTCAGGGCTGATTGTAGCACAGGGGCTACGTCTAGACTGGCATGATTTTCCGCAAATGCTTTTAACGGAAAAGTTTTTCCGTTAAAAGCATTTGCAGAAAAGAGCATCTAGATTGGCATGGATGCTTTTCTGCAAAAGCACTTTTGGCGGAAAAGCATCCGTGCCAATCTAGACGCGGTTTTGCACAAGAAAGCCCCGATCGCCATTTTCGCCATCGGGGCTTTTTTGTGCAAAACAGTTTTTAGCTGTCTACACTGGCCCTCTTGCGCAAAAACATTTCCGGAAAAGGGCTTTTGCCCGAACGGGAACATCAGAGCATTTGCGCAAGAAGCACTGATTTCGGACAGTAGAACGTCAGTGCTTTTGCACAAAATCAAGCGGCCAGTGTAGACAGCTGGCAAGTTTTTGCGCAAAAGCAGCTGCTTTTGCAGAAAAACTTGCCAGTCTAGATGCAGCCAGGGAGAGCTGGGGTGTCTGAGGGGTTTTACTCATGATGCTTCCTGCTGGCCGGACTGGCAGCTGAAGCGCTCTGCGTGACTGGTTTATGACCTGTTTGGGAAAGGTCTCCAGTCTGGGGCTCTAAGGAGCCCTGGTTTTTAAGCAATTTGCCCCGAGTGGACACCCTCAGCTGTGCCCAGACCTGGCTCGGTCTGCCACAGCAACCCAGTGGTAACTCATCATAAAGGCAGAGGCACAAGAGGCTGGGGAAGGAGACAGCTTAAAGCCAGGGCTGAGAGGCTGTAGGGGGGGGGAATCTGTGGGTAGGGGGATAGGGGAAGGAAGAGGGCCAGGGCTGGGACACTGGAGGTGGCAAGCAGAGCTTAGTTCATGCTTGAAGTGCCTTGAAGAGGTTACGTGCTGTCCAGAATAAAATGGATTCTCTTCTGCTCCCCACATCATGTGCGCTGCCAAGTTCCTCCCTGCTCCTGCAAGCAGCTGGCTGAAAGGAGCCAGGGGCCAGCCCCAGCCAGCGGTGGAGTAGGGCCTTGTTAGAGCGTCTCTTGGGCTTCTCAGGAACTAGTTGGCACTGCTAAGGAACAGAGCTCCATGTCTGGATGCTGGGTTCAAACCCACTAAGGGCCAGTGGCTGGCAGCCTTGTGCTGGCTGTGGGGATCAGCAATCCCTAGCAGCTCCTGGGTTTGTAGCCTGCGTATGAAACACTGAGAAAAGAAGGCAGGAAGGGAAGCCAGCGTCAGAGCAGAGCAAAAAGCAAAGCCAGGGAAAGCTAGACAGAGCTTTATGGATGCTGCGCCCCCCTGCATAACTCAGCCGAAACGGCTACAGAGGAATCAAACCCATGGCCTTGGCCTTGTCACCCAATCCAGGCTTCTGCTCCAGCATGTCCCCTTTGCTAGAGCTGCTCAGAGGGGGGGCAATTGTTGCCCTGATGAGCCAAGCTTCAGCTTGATCACAAGCCATCCCAACCGCTTTGAACTGTGCCACTTCCCGCCACGCTGCCACAGGGCGCTGTGTGCCGTCCCTTTAAAGGGCTCCAGCAGGTGTGACTTCACAGAGAGCGGGTAACAATGGAAGGTGGCTGGCGTCACTGGGCCAGGGAGCTGGGAAGGTGGTACAGCCAGTGAGTAAGAGGGGCTGATTGTAGCAGGGCTGTAGTATGGGCCATTCCTGGCATAAGCTGCATCCTCCCTGCAAGAGTGTGACATCTCCATAGAGTGAGTAGGGAGAGGCTGGGGGGAGGGGGTCAAATAGAGGGGGTGCCATCTGTACAGAGTTAGAGAAGCATCCTGACTGCTGGAGCATGGGTGTCTTGAGAGTCCTTAGCATTGGGCCACATTTGCAGGAGCTCCCATTAATCTGAGGTGCCCAGGCCAGAGGTGCTGAGCAGGTGCCGCCCCTGGCACACTAACAGGAGCACTGTGCATGGGGGCATCAGCCACGGCACCTCCAGCTGGGCATGAAAACAGGGGAGCCTCCCAGCCTTCACTGGAAGCCTGACTGGGCTTTTGGGGGCCACAGCAGCTGGCAACTCACGGCTTGCAGTGGGCGGAATGGGACCCAAACTCCCCCATGGCAGGCAGTTGTGTAGATCACAATCAGCTCCTGTGGACTATTCAGCCCTTCCTAACTGGCTTCCACACAGTGTCCCATTGCAGCATGTCTGGGCTGAGACACAAGGGCAGGGGCAGACCCAGCATGGCACCGATCAGCTCTGCAGGCCCCAGCGGGGCAGAAAATCCCTCCTGTGCCTTTGAGCTGGTGCACCCCCATTTCCCCACAACCGCAGCAGTCCAATCCCCTCCCACAAGCTCAGGGGCCCACCCCTCCAACCTGCTGCACCCGCATACATCCACCCTCTCTCTTGATAGCCCCCATGTTTATCCATGCCCCGACTCACCTGCCCTCTCCCAGGGCCAGGGCACAGGGTGAATGAAAGGCTGGAGGAGGCCCTATGGCTCTGCTAGTAGAGCCTCAGGCAGTACTCAGCCAGGGACCTGGGGGTGCTGTGGCAGAGCCGGGGGGAGGGGCAATGCCCTCATCCTTTCCCTCATATGTCCCCCTGAGTTGGTCTCTTCCCTCCTGCAGGCCATGGCCGTGGGCAGCCTGCTCTTTCTGGCGGTGCTCGCCATTGTGTACCACCCCATGATGGTTAGTGACAACAAGCAAGACCCCATGACTGTGGAGAGGGTGCAGCAGCAGGAGCAGCTGCTGGCCCTGGAGATGAACCGCTTGCAGCTGGAGTTTGAGCAGAGAAACCAAGAGCAGGGGCAGGGCCTACAGCAGAGCCAGAACCTGGGGCCAAACCAAAGCCAGGGGGAGGAGGGAGCTGCGCTGAAGGTGGAGTCTGAGCAAGGGCCTGAGGAGGTGGCCTGGCATGGCTGGCACTGCGGGGTACTGGTTATTATCCTGCTCTTTGAGCTCTGCAGGCCAAGCATGGAGCATGAGTCTAGCTATGACTCCAGCAGCGATGATGCCAGCAGTGTTGAGGAGGAGGAGGAGGCCGAAACAGCACCCAGGAGCGTCTGCACCCAACATCCTGATTTCCCAGACACAGAGACCCTGGAGCACTTTTACGAGCAGCACCTCCAAGGTACGTCCAAGGAGCTGGCTAGCACCTGCGAGTTTGTGACAGGCCTCGTGAACAGCCTGCTGGAGGCATGCCGAGTCCTCATCTGCCAGACCTTCCTCCCCCAGCTGGAGAACTGCATTGGCGTGGCCAGCGCCTTTGAAGGCTGGTGCCCCCACAGGGACTCCAAAACCTACTGCGTGCTCGTGCCCCTGCTGCCGCCCAAGGGGCACTCCTTCCATCTGGAGATGGATTACACAGAGGGCACCCCAGAGAACCATGGCCACATCCTGGTGGAGCTGGAGTGTGTGTGCAAGAGGGAGAGGCTGTTGGGGGACGTGCTGTGTCTCTTGCACCACTCTGAGGCAGACATGAGTGACAGTAAGCGGGGACCCTTCCGAGTGCACATTTTATGCAGCAGCTCCCACCTGGATGTGGAAAAAACTACCCACTGGTTCCAGAGTCTGATAGGCAAGGCCTGGGAGCTCATGTCTCACAACTATAGCTTCCAGCTCTCACTCCAGCCCTCCACCTCCTGCTGCAAGCTCTGGCTGGCTTATGAGTCTGGCAGGGCCCTCTCCATCGAGATCATCCTGGGGGTGCAACGGGGAGACTCTCTGGTCTTCCTGGCCAGCCAGGGGGCTGAGATGGGCCATTCCAGCGGCTTGGCGTGGCTAGAAACCTTCGCTGTTCAGGAAATGTTGTTCTTCCAGTTGATGAGCAGGTATGCCCCCCAGGACAGTTGCCACCTCAAATGCCTCCAGATCCTCATCTACCTCAAGGAATGCAGGATGCCCACCCTAGAGAACAAGATCCTCACCACCTACCACTTCAAAACCGCCCTGATGCACCTTCTGCTCCTCCTGCCACTGTCGGAATGGTGCCCGGAGCAGTTAGCTCAGAGGCTGCAGGATATCCTCTTGTACCTGCACCATGGGCTAGAGGAGAAATGCCTCTACCACTTCCTGATTGGAAACAGTGCCCTGCCCAGGCAGATCCCTGTACCCAAGGCCTTCCAGAACGCCAAGCCACTCAACCTCTTTCAGCACTTGGCACTGGAGCCTGCTGCTCATGCCCAGGCCAGAAGCGAATTCTTGGAAGTGATGGAACAAGTGAGGGCTCTACTCCCACAGAGCAGCAAGTAGCAAGACAGAATGTGGGTCCACTGCACTGAGCTCCCTAGACTCTGGTAGCCTAGCACATCGTCCGCAGCACAGTCACCATGCCACTGATTTTAGAGTGGAGCCAGAACAGCATTGCTGAGCCTGGGGCAGGGCCATGTTTCCAATCAGGAGATGCCAGCCTGTGTACCCTAGGCACGGAGACATCTGGAGACAGGTCGGCACAGAAAGGGCACTGTACAGTTAAAGCCAAGGCAGACGAACTTTCTTGTCCCAGAGTATTTTTGTACATGTGTACGTATGTTCTCAAGGGCTTGGCTCTATTGGTTCAAATAAAAGCTTTGACAAAACTATATTGTTAAACACCTGAACCCATCACTCCTGGGCCGAGGAACAATCTTCTACCTCCAAACATATCCCACTGAGCCCCGGGGGGTCACGGAGTCTGCCGTTGAATTTGGATGGAATAAATGAACACATAACCCAGACTGTCCAAGGTCAAACCGGAGTTTGGTATGCAGAGCCCTCAGCTTGCTCAGTACCAGGAAACATTTTAACCCTTTGCTAAAGCTAGAGAAACAATGAGAAACCAGTTAAAAGTATTAAGTGAGGCATTAAGAGCACTCGTGTCTCACAACTACAACTCCCAGCTCACAGGCAAGCCCTCTGCCGCCTCCTGCCTATATCCTGCGGTCCCTCTTCCTATGATTGGAGAGAGGTTTTAGGAGGAAATCTCCCTTTGTTTGGTGGTAACAAAGATGGCCATCATAGGCACAGACTCCATGGGTTGCTTAGCCCTGCACCTCTTGCCTGCCTGCAGTCCTACCAATCAACTCCTCCCCCTCCCTCCCAGCACTTCCCACTCACCCCAGGGTAGGTAACCCTTGAAAATTCTTTTTATGGACAGTATAGAAATAAATGATGGACAAGCAAACTGTGTTACGGACACTTCTAATGGAATAGAACAATGGCTCAAAAAGACAACAGTGTGGTGTGGAATGGGGCCCAAGGCTGAGAGGGGGTAGAGACCCATAGGGAAAGTTGGAAGCTGGTACCTGTGACAGGAACAACTGTTTTGGGGAGAAGGAGCTGGAGCTGTCCTTGCAGCTGCTGTTCAAGTCCAAACCCACAAACCAGGAACGAAAAGAACAGGAAAGAAAAAGGCAGCTCCCGCCTCTGGTGTGACACTTGTAGCCTCCCTGCTAGAGAAACCCAGGCTCAGGTACTCTGAGGCCTGGCAAACTCGTACCAGCATCAGGCTGGTCAGGGTGTTGCTTTTAGCTGTTTTTTTCTGGTTTCAGGCTTATAGCAATGCTACAAAATCTGCAGGCTTGGCTGCCTTGACTCGTTAAGCAGAAGGAAAGAGGAGAGGGCAGGCCAAGGGAAGAACAAAGGTAGAGAAAGAAAAGGAGACAGGGGCTGGAGAAGAAGAGATAAAGTTTCACATCCCAGCTGTTGGTTCGGATTCAGCCAGAGTCTGTGATGTTTACATCTCTTTCTAGCTCAGTCTGGTCAGGACCTCACTCAGCAGCCATGCTGGGGGTCAAGAGATAGCAGCCATGGTGGTGATGCTCGCTCCAGAAGCCTCCAGGTGTCTGACAGGCCCCACAAAAGGTGTGCTGCAGGCATGAGCCCATTCCCTTCATTTTGTCCTGCCCATAACACCCTAACTTCCCCTCAGTATCAGATGGGGCTGGAACACACCCCTGCATTCACAACCTACACACAAGTATCAATCTTTTACCAGGTAAGGTATCACCAGAAAACTCATCATCCTGTGCTGACCAGGGTTGGCCTCACTGAAATATCATGGGAAGTTACAGATTCCCCAGCACAGTGTTATTAACATACTCTCCAAACTTCACAGTTCTGCCCAGGCAGCAAAGAGGTCTGTCCTGAACAAATCTTGCCTTGATCAGCATTTTGTTTTTAAAGTTACAGACTAACAGGAATACCCCTCAGACATTTAAACAGAAAACATTCACCAAGCAGAAAATGAAAGCTCAAGGACCCACCTCTCACGCACAGTTGTGACCAAACAACAGCACACATGTATTCACCCAAAAGACTGAAAACAATGAGTAGTCCTGCAGCACTCAAAGAGGAACAAAAAGAGATCAAGGCAGTCCAAGGGAAGAGGCCTGGGAGTCATCACACAGCAGCCAAGGGTTAACACTTACACTGACTTACCAAACCCTGTCAGACCCAAGCACTGTCTTCTTCCTCTGGTAAGGCTAAGGACAAGGAGCCAGCAAGTCTCAGCAAGATCTCAACTCAGAATGCCGGTTTAGAGCCCTGAGGACTGTTCCTTGCACTCCAGCAAGGTCAGTAACCAAATGTGTCAGGTCACACCTGCCCCAGCTATTGCCTTGGTCTCTTCCAGGGCAGAGGAAACCTTGGGGACAACTCCTTCTTACCCTTTCAGTGCCCACCCCGTCAATATTCCCTGCAGGGCCAAATGTGTCAGGTCACACCTGCCCCAGCTATTGCCTTGGTCTCTTCCAGGGCAGAGGAAACCTTGGGGACAACTCCTTCTTACCCTTTCAGTGCCCACCCCGTCAATATTCCCTGCAGGGAACAAGGAGCCTCACTCCCCACTCACAGCCCCCTGTTCCTTCTGTCAG